GGTTAGTTGATTAACTTGTGAATTATCTTTGATTCTTACCATTTCTTTAAGAGGTGTTACACAACACGCTGCTTCCTTTGGTATCATGTCAGGCTGCTGCCACTCTGGGAAGACTCACTGCTAATGTGACCGTAGGCACCTTATGTGGGCCCGCTGGTGTTGTGGAGATCATGGAGGGAGGAAGTAGGTTGAATCCTTCATCACATTTTTCACCTGTCACAAAGATGAGGATGTTGCTCAGGTTCAGTCTCATCAACTGAGTCTGCATGTCCCAGATGGTACAATACTGTTCTTCTTCTTGTGAGGAAGCATTGAAAAAATAAAAGGAGAAAGGTGACCCTCAGAAGGAGGAGTGACATCTTTAGAGAGTATCCTCCAACCCGTTCTTATCTTCTCTCAGTACCTCAGGCCTCGTGAGGTGGACATTATGCTTCTTAGTATTCCCTGACACCAATTCAGATGTGCCAAAGGAAAGTGTGGTGTTTCTGCTAGATGCCTGGAAACCATCTCCCTTTTAAGTTATACTCTTGTAATATTTATAGCTGTGTTTTATCCTATACAGATCGCATTATACCTCCTTCTTTCACAAGAAAACTGAAAGAAGTTAATGGTCTCTCTGGTTCTTCTGTTGTGCTGGATTGCAAAGTGTCTGGGTCACCACCTATTTCTGTTTCCTGGTTCCATGACGGACATGAGATCACTAGTGGAGACAAGTATCAGACGACTCTCTCAGACAATACTTGCTCTTTGAAAGTGAACACACTAAAGGAATCTGATATGGGAACTTACTCATGCACAGCTACTAACGTAGCTGGATCTGATGAATGCAGTGCATATTTGACTGTTAGAGGTTAGTATCTAGAACAAGGCAGAGCTTCCAGATATAAACTACTTTCTTTATGGCTTGCTTACATTTTTGGGTCTGTGTCTATGAGTCTATTCACCTGTGTTTCGTATGGGAATCTTTTACTCTTCATCAAAGTGCACTTGTCTTTTCTGTGTGTCTTTAGAACCTCCTTCTTTCGTGAAGAAACCTGATCCCCTGCAAGTTTTATCTGGGGCAAATATAACTTTTACTAGTATCCTAAAAGGCACCTCTCCACTGGATGTTAAATGGTTCAAAGGAAGCGTTGAACTAGTGCCGGGACATAGATGCAACATCTCCTTAGAAAATGCAGTTGCACAACTGGAGCTGTTTGACGTACAGCCACTCCAAAGTGGAGACTACACCTGTCTGGTCACTAATGAGGCTGGCAAAGTTTCTTGCACAACACAGCTCTTTGTAAAAGGTTTGTCCGGCTTGCAATTACATACATTTCTTTAAAAAAAATCTCTTGGTGTCAACTTTTAACTTTTATCTTCATAATGTTCACTGTAGAACCAGCCAAATTTGTGAAAAAACTGAATAATCTCAATGTGGAGAAAGGAAAACCATTAATTCTGGAATGCACGTATTCTGGTACCCCTCCGATTGCAGTTTTATGGAAGAAAAATGGATACAAAGTAGTTCATTCTGCAAAATGCAGCATCACCACCACAGAAACATCTGCCATTCTGGAAGTTCCCAGTAGTAAAATAGAAGATCAGGGACAATACACTTGCCACATTGAGAATGATTCTGGGCAAGATAATTGTCACTCTGCAGTCTCAGTATTAGGTGTGTCCTCATTCCACAAAGTATATTTTTTATACTAATGATCACTGTGGTATTTAAATTTTGGTACTAATGATGTGTCTTTGTTCTTTAGAACAACCTTATTTTGTTACACGCTTGGAACCTGTTCAGGTGACAGTTGGGGATTCTGCATCATTACAATGCCAAGTTGCTGGCACACCAGAAATTATTGTATCATGGTACAAAGGAGATACAAAACTAAGAGCAACTACTACCTCTAAAATGTACTTTAAGAACAACGTTGCCACTTTGGTTTTCAGCCAGGTGGATAGTGGTGATAGTGGGAAGTATACCTGCAAAGCAGAAAACAGTGTTGGAGAGGCTTCTTCATCAGCTTTGCTTTCTGTTCAAGGTGAATATTTCATTTTAGCAAGAATAAAAGTTTACTTTCTTCGGGTGTGGTGTTTCAGGAAAGAAAAGTCTTTTTTCAGAAACACCCAGTGCCTTTACATGACCAGTTAGAAAGTACCCATGTCAAGAGGCCCTGCAGCATTTATTACCTTTCAGTATCAAAGGACTGGCTGGGAAGAAATTTCCATGAAATTGTCCTGTGCTCTCTCTAAGACACAGAGGCTTCTGTGTCTTCCCCTTCAGTTTAGGGCATGTCCCCAGTTATTCTTCTAGCTCTTTCCACTGTAGAAAATGTGAGACCATTATCAAACGTTAAGGCTAAGTTCTGCCTTCATTTATAACTTTGGAACATGGACTTCAATGAGACAGGAAGGGTGCAACTGGTTGTACTCTTCCTAGCATCCCTGGGCAGAGCCCTATCTTCACACCAATCCCCAAACTAAATGGTCTAGCATATAATCTCTTTGATCTTTTGTGGGCCTCTTACTGTTTTATATTAGGCAAGTTGGTTAAAAACAATAACTGGATCGTCCAGTATCTTCTTGTAAATCTACCCAATCTAGATCACAATAGAATATCTTTTTAGGCAGTGCTTACTGGAGAGTTCACCAAAGCTGGATAACTTCCCAAAGCTTTCATTGTGCAATACTTCTTTCCTTGCAGAGCGTAAATTTCCTCCTTCATTTACACGAACATTGAGAGACATTCATGAAACTACTGGCTTGCCAGTTACATTTGATTGTGGCATAACTGGCTCAGAACCAATTGAAGTATCCTGGTCTAAAGACGGCGTACATATCCGAGATAGCTACAATGTGCAAACCTCCTTCTTAAATAACGTAGCAACTCTCCAGTTTTTGCAGACTGACAAGAGCCTTGCTGGGCAATACACTTGTACAGCTTCCAATGCTATTGGAACTGCTTCTTCCAGTGCCAGGCTTGTGCTTACAGGTTGGTTGGTTATTAAATAATTTTCCTTTAATGTCACCAGGTCATTTTAAAATTTCCATCTTAACTTAAAACAATAGGTGCAACATTTGTTTAACAACATGGTTTTAACTAATTGAGCTTTTAAAAGCTATATGTGTTTTTTTGTTTCTTTCATCCTGTAGAAGGGAAGAATCCTCCATTGTTTGACATCCCAATTGCACCCGTGGATGCTTTTGCTGGGGATAGTGCTGACTTTGAATGCCACATATCAGGAACACAACCAATTAAGGTCACTTGGGCAAAAAATAACCAAGAGATACGGACTGGACGAAAGTACCACATTAGTTATGTAGACAACATAGCTTATTTGACAGTTCTGAACATTGACAATGCAGACTCTGGAACCTATACATGCCATGCTAGCAATGAAGTTGGAAAGGACTCTTGCGCAGCTCAACTTAGTATTAAAGGTATTGACTGATCCATGTGTATGAATTCCTTTATATCTAAAATAAATAAGCCATCTTGTTGCTAGATAAGTTTGAGACCATCTTTTCAATGTATGGATTAGAAAATGTGTATTGAAGTATGTATTAGGAGGAATTGAAAGGTCTTTGAAGGAAAGTGTGGGGAGAATTGTGAAGAGGAGATAATGTTTTCTTTAGTCTACTTTTCTTTGAAAGTTTAACAGACTTTTTCATTTTAAATGGTTTATACAAAATCTGGTTTGTTTCTTGTAGCTTATACATAGGGTCTTGATTTTGTTTTAAAAAGGCATATTTCTTAAAAGCAGTATAAATAATTTTTTTACTATGTTTTAAATAGCAAAACTCCACATCCATTTATGCAGTGTGGATTTTCCTGTTCCAAGAATGGTGTTCTCTGCATACTTTTAGTTAAAAAAAAAAAAAAAAAAAATCCCTTTTTTTTTTATAACAAATTTTTTTTTTTTTAACAACATATATTAATTAAAGGTATTTCTTGAAAAGTCTTCTACTGAATATTTGATCTTAAAATTTATTTTTAGAATTTAAGGAATATGTTCATTTCTTGCAGAACGAAAAATTCCACCTAGTTTTACAAAGAAACTATCTGAAATAGTAGAAGAAACAGAAGGGAACATCCTTAAACTTGAGGGCCGTGTTTCTGGTTCTCAGCCTCTGACCATTGCTTGGTATAAAAACAATCAAGAGATCTATCAGAGTCCTAATTGTGAAATATCATTCCTAAAAAACACCATACTTCTGCAAATTAAGAGTGCAGGGCAGGCTGATGCTGGCTTATATACCTGCAAAGTGTCCAATGAAGCAGGAAGTGTATTGTGTACTTCTTCCGTTGTTATTAAAGGTTAGTTAATTTCATATTTTGCCTCACTGTGGTGTTAGTTTTCTTTATCAGCATGTTAGCTGTCAATATACGTCTTCCATAGCTAATCAAATAATTCTCTTTAGGAGTTTTATCTTTAGGCCATATATAATTGTGTTCGAACAATATTAAATTCCGTACAGTTTACACAATGAAATAATGGCCCCAATTCCTTCTTTAGATACACAGGCACAACTCTCATGAACTTAAATGTGAGCTCTGTATTTCAGGATAGAATTTGGGCACAGTGTTTCTATTCCTTTCACCTTAGAATATGATACAAATAGTATACAACAAAATAGTGACTGCTTTCCTGTAGCTTTCTATATTTTATTTAGAGAACGGTATTACACAAACCTTGCTGCTATCAATACATATTAGTAGCAAATAATAACCCGACACTGTGCATGTTATGAATGGCTAGAGGTTTGCAATATGCCATAATTATTCCTGGTAATGAAACAAATTCCAGACCACACCTGGAATATTTAGTGAATATTTGTTCACTAAAGTGTGATGAATTTTTGTGGGACAATGTCAACATTTCTCAAAAATAGCTCATTTAACATTTAATTATTAATGCAAGAGTCGGAGTCTTTTGGGGTTTTTGTCGTTGTTTTTGTTTTTGTTTTTTACTTTTTGCATACTGTCCTTTGGGACCTATCTTGCATACATAATCCCGATTTATCATATATCTTTGGAAGTTCATACCCTTAATTTGCATTCCGAGCATAGTACATAATGTGTTTAGAATTATTTATCTAGCTCTTAACAAGTGTAGTGCAAACACACTGTCTACTCCATTGCACGTCTTTTTCTTGTACATTTGTTTTTTTCCTCTTTTCCCTAATGTGTGGATTATGATGTGTGTCATACTTTAAACAGTAACGTCTAGATTACTTATAAAAATGAGCCTATGCTGTCACTTCATTTGAACCTCCATTGGGGTTTTGCAGGGGAACTGCATGGAATGAGCAAAGTAAAATGTGCATGAGATGGTTTTTATTTTGGCCTATATTTACACCTGTGCAACTCTCACATAAACTAACGAGTTTGGTCATGCATACCTGAGGGTAGAGTTGTGACATACATGCGCTGCAAATGCATGGTTGCCTACCCCAAGCAAAAAAATATTTTAGTGGGTCCAACACCCTGGCCTGGTTTTCAAGCACATGCATTGCCTGGTGATTTCATATGGAATAGTAGGTGCTCAGCTCCTCCACACATCAAGAGCCATAGGATAAACCTTTTGTCCCTGCCAAATAGGACAACCAAACTGAGGAGTAGCCAAGTTACATGTGGCTGATCTCCAGTTGGGGCCAAAAATACATCAGGCCATTTTATCTTCCTGTATTTGCAATCGTGATTTTCCAAACTCATCTGCTAATGCATAAGATCAGGATGGATTGATCCTCTACTCTTCCCATTATTTTGCCTTTTATATTATGTCAAATAATATTGTGAGATATTATGTGATGTCACCCAAGACATAGTAGAAATTTAAAACCTGTAATACTGGTTTCTTTTTGCCTACATTAATATCAATAAATTTGCTCGCGTATCTTTCCGACCAATTGCATTGTCACTGTTCCTCACTCTTGCTGTTGAGGGCATCCAGGATGGGATTGAGTTAAACCACAAAAGCAA